TCTGAAATAAACACAGGGTCAAAATTATATATACACTATACTGCCAGTAGTATTTGCTCGTCTGCTAGTGACATCGCTTTCTTAATCCACAGAGTTTAATATGATGTTGGCTCACCTTTTGCAGCTATAACAGCTTCAGCTCTTCTGGGAAGTCTTTCCACGGGGTTTGGGGATTTTTGACCATTCTTCCAGAAGCACATTTGGGAGGTCAGACATTGATGTTGAACCAGAAGGCCAAAGGTGTTCTGTCAGGTTGAGGTCAGGGATCTGTGCAGGCCAGTCAAGTTCTTCCACACCAAACTCACTCATCCATGTCTTAATGTGTCTTGCTTTGTGCCCTGGTGCCCAGTCATGTTGGAACAGGAGAGGGCCATCCCCAAACTGTTCCCACAAAGTTGAGAGCATGAAATTGTCTTGGTGTCTTGAAGCATTAAGAGTTCCTTTCACTGGAACTAAGGAGCTGAAATCAACTCCTGAAAAACAACCCCTACTAAGCTTTATACTTGGTATAATGAAGTGAAACGAGTACCGTTCTCCTGGCAACCACCAAACCAGACACCTGACTCTGTGGGATTTCCAGATGGAGAAGTCTGATTCATCAATCTGGAGAACACTGCTCCACTGCTCTATAGTCCAGTGGTGGCGTGTTTTTCTCAATAAATGCTTTGCCTTGCACCCTTGGCTATTTAAAGCTCGGATGCAGTTGCTCAGCCATGGAAACCCATTACACGAAGCTCTCTACACACAGTTCTTGAGCTAATCGGCCACATGAAGTTTGGAGCTCTGTAGCGACTGACTCTGTAGAAAGAATCTGTGCACATCAGCATCTGCTGACCCAGATCTGCAATTTACATGCCCTAAAACTTCATGGCTGAGTTGCTGTCTTTTCCAGTTGTTTGTAGTTTGTTATAATGCTACTAACAGTTTACTGTGTAATATTTAATAGTGAGGAAATTTCACGACTGTACATCTGTTTGAAAGCCCCCACCTGAATTGTTTTCTGTTCTCTCTACATGTCATGCTTTTGGCTTTTATGCTCTCTAAGCCATTGGTGGAGTTCTGAGGAGGTTTCTTTGTCTTCAGTTGTGCTTCTCAAATCTTTTCCTCTGTAACTCATCCACCTGTGGATATTTAAGGCCTGATTGTGCAGCAGTTATTTGAACAATATTACTTAGCATTATGAACATTATGCACTCTGGCTTCTCACCCTGTGTGAATATTTCTTCAGCTAACTATGAGTTTTTTGGTTTGTTTTCTGCTTTTTAGTTCTCAGTCCATAACCTGTTAAAGAAACTTTGTTCCCACTCTGTCTTCTCTGGAAACACTGGTGCACACCACCAGCCGCTCACCTCTGGAAAGAATCCTGCAAAGAGACGGACTTACCTGCAACTCACCTGCCTGCCCACAGTCCACTGTCTAGGAATAGGCCCTCCTCATCTCAGATCCCTCCAGAGCTTATTTTCTGTAATCCCTCAAGTAATAAAATCTGCTCACAATAGATTAGAGGTCTTTCAGTAAACTATGTTCAATTTTAAACTCGGCGAGAGTGCCAGTAAAATGATAAATGGGTTAGTTCTTAGATTGTGTTTTTCTACTCTACCTAAGCACTCAAAGTGCTTTATACAACATTCACCCAAACCCTTTTTTTGGACACTTAAATGTTTTTTTTTTACCTAACATTTATACATTTATGCTGAATGTATAAGAGAGCAACTTGGTGTTCAGCATCTTGCCCAAGGATACTTTGGCATACAGACTGGAGAGCCAGGGATTGAACCACTGACCTTCCACTTATAAGGCTACCTACACCTGAGCTACAACTACTCTAGCAAAACATGACACCACCAGCTAGCTTGCTGATCAGCTTTCTGCATGTGCTTCATTTCATGCAATCACCTCAAGGTACATATACAGTGATTTCTACCAAGTTGCGTTAAGAAAATAAATGAACCTGTACAACAAAGCTTGATTTTTGTTTTACTCTAAAAGATGCATGTTGTACAATCTTCAGTTCTAGAAATTATTAAAACTATTACATGTTGCTTTGACATTCATGTGCATGAGGAATGACTCTGATTTGCATCTCTATATTCAGTAGCATTAAAAATGTTCTTGAGCCAACATTAGGCCCATGCACAGACTCAGCTGAGACAAAATCAAAGTAAGAAAGGAGATTTCATAAAAAAGAAAAGAGAACATTAAAAAATAAGGCTAAAATATATGATATTTTATCACCCACTGACATAGAGCTGACCAACAGGTTTGGACTGCATGCCTGAAGTTCAACGCTTCATCAGCATTAACTGCGTAATGTTATATATAGTCATGAATCAGTCACAGCGATTTTCCTTGGCTACATTTTAGCTGAAAATACTGTTGGTTTTACTGCAGTAGAATGAATGTTACCTTCAGGACTCGTGCTTCTAATGGACTATTAATCCACTCTTGCTAAATTCAATATGGTTGACATATTATCTTAATTTCAAGCTGATTTCCTCTGTTTACTGTAACTGTTTTCCAGTCTGACCCCAAGTTCAAACCCCCAAATATAAATTTTACTGTCACAGAGACACTTTTTGCTGACAAACTAGTTATTAACCCTCAGAGTTTTACCAGTCGATCTATGTCCCTGCCCTAACCTATGATCGTGAGCTTTGGGTAGGGTCTGAACGAATGAGATATAAGCGGTGGAAATGAGCTTTCTCCAAAAGATGGCTGGCCTCTCCCTTAGCAATAAGGTGAGTTGTTCAGTCATTTGAGAGGGGCTCGAATGATTAAGAAGACCCGCTACTCCTCCACATTGAAAGGAGCCAGTTGAGGGGGTTTAGGCATCAGACTAGTCTGCCTCCTGGGTGAACTGTTCTGGAGAGATTATATCTCTTTCAGCTGGCTGAGAATGCATCAGTGCTCCTCCAGATATGCTGGAGGAGGTGACTGAGGAGAGGAAGGTCTAGGCTTTTTTGCAACCCAGTCCCAAAAATGGAAGTCTGAGTGGGTGTTTTTAAAGAATAGGTTACCAATATTGGAAAGACAAATATTTTTTGCCAGACTTTTTCTTTGCTGTTTTAAAATGCTCACATTTTCCAGTTGTGACAAATATTCTTTTGTTTATCCATAAAACAAAACATTTTTCCCAAATACATGTTCACAGGCTCCTGCAGTTTCCACTTGATTTGACTTGCCAGGAGGAATATTTTTAAGGCAGCCCTTAATTCTAGACCTGGGTGATACAGTGGTGTGAAAGGGTGTTTACCCCATTCCTGATTTGCATATTTGTCACATTTACATCAGGTAATGTTCAAATGTTGGTTCATGGTTTTCTTCCATTTTTGATCTACTGCAGAATATTTTTAAGGCAGTTATCTGCTATAAAAAGCCAGGACAGGAAAATCTCCTCAGTTACTTTGACACAAATGCATCTGCTGTGATGCTTAAACCTCTGATGAAGTCTCACAAGTGTCAGCTTTGTTTTTATAACCAACATAGATATAAAAATATGTATATATACTGATAAATGATCATTATTATAATATTTCTGGCTGTATGAGTCAAAATTTAATCGAATCAATCTCAATCGAATCAATCTCAATCGAATCGATTATAGAAATCAGTGACAATATCCAGCCCTAAACATCCTGCCAACAGTGGTGGTGGTAGTGTGATGGTCTGGGGCTGTTAAGCTGCCTATGGACCTGGACGACATGCTGTGATAAACTGAACCATGAATTCTGGTATCTACTAAAACATCCCGAAGAAGAACGTCTGGCCACCTGTTCATGACCTCAAACTGAAGCTTGATGAAGACTCTGGAGTGGCCTAGTCAAAGTCCTGACCCGAATCCTGTCCGGTTGTTCAGTCTGACGTCACTAGCCGTGTCTGGACCTAAACTCCGCTGCAGGTCCATATATCAAACGATCACTATGGCATTACTGAGAGTTGAAAAACTGTCTAAAGTCTTTCATCTTTAATAAAATGATCAGCGTTCTGCTCTACCAGGTGTAACAATTGAGTTTAACATCCAGGCATCCAAACGATATGAATTAACGGAGTTAGAAGTTAGCAGGAGTTAGCTCGCTAGCTTCTATCTAAATACAATATAGCATGTCCTGACTGCGGGGTTTTGGAAACAAATTAAAACGTACAGCTCTGTTATCACTTCCAAGCATAAATGAAGACAGAAAACTAAACAGCAGTGACGTTTGTAGGGTTACTGAAGTTGGCTAGCTGGTATATAATGATGTGCTACGTGACCGCTAGCGACACAGCTATGTTAGCATAATATAAACAAGCTAACTTTTTTTCCACTCGATAAAAGTTAACGTGAGTGTTCTCGGTGGTCAGGAACAAATGTAATCGCATGGCAGGATGCTGTAAAAGGACCAAACTTCAGCCAGGAGAACAACTGAGATAATCCATCCACAATACGAGGTTAGTCATTCATATACTGCTGCATGGGCTGGGCTGTAGTTACATCCTAAGGTTTTAAAAACTGAGCTTAAATAAATGATTAGCGGTAATAAAAGCCGAGGGAGGTCAACAGTGATCACTGACTGTTTTAGGAGCTTTTTGAGATTAAATAGAAGAAAATACAAACATTAAACATGTTAACAACACAAAAGCCATATTAAACGCAGACTACTTTAGGCCCGGAAGTAGGATTCGTCACGTCATCACTTAACAATCGGATTGAATGCCGTGGCATGACCTTTAAAAAGCGGATAATGCTCGAAAACCCTCTAATGTGGCTGAATTACAACAATTCTGCAGAGATGAGTGAGCCAAAATTCCTCCAGAGCGCTGTAAAAGACTCATAGCCAGTTATTTCAAACGCTTGATTGTAGTTGTTGTTGCTAAGGGTGGCCACACAAGTTATTAGGTTTAGGGGGCAATCACTTTTTTACACAGGGCCATATAGGTTTGGATTTTTTTCCCCTTAACAATAAACACCTTCATTTAGAAACTGCATTTTCTTTGTATTTGTGTTATCTTTGTCTAATATTTGAATTTGGATAATGATCTGAAACATTTAAGTGTGACAAACATGCAAAAAATAGGAAATCACTTTTTCACACCACTGTATGAAGTGATGTTTCGCATATCGTCTCCTCTCAGTAAAAGGAAGTAAAAACTAAAGAGTTTAAGAGACATCACACTCCTCTTTTGAAGCATCTCACTCTGTCTGCTGAAGGCTATGGTTATCTCTTACCTCTCATTTGGCAGACAGCTAGTGTCGCTCCCTCAGCTTGCTTATTAAGTGCAGTGTGGTACAGCATTATCTTGATAAATGTTCCTCTTATGGCACGGGATAGGCTGATGAATCAGACAGCGTTGGGCTGTATATGGCCAGTTCTTCTCACTGTCACAGTGTGATAGCAGACTGTGAGGTGGTAATGATCCACTGACAAGCTGAGGGGGAGGTCTGACAGGTTATTCCAGGCGCTATCAATCCACTGAAATGTAGCAGCGATGCAGAATATGAATAACTTGGGAATGTGCACACGAGGTTTACCCTCAGATATTAAACGGTAAGTGGTTCACCTACCAGTATTGAACAACTGCTGGGGGATCCCAGGGAGACATTATTGCTTCATTTTATTTAACGCATCTTATTTTTGGGAGTTTAATTCCATCTTCCCTGTGTGAAATTTTCTAAGTCAAATATCATTTGGGAATATAAAAAAGGAAGTTACTCCTTAAAGAGCCAAAAGTTTTGCAGCTGAACTTCAGTGTCACGAGAAGTTCAATTTAACCCGACTCTGAAATGTCACCTGAAGAGATCTTTAAAGGGTAAAAAAAATAGAATAAAAACCACAAGGATGTCATCACGATCATCTCAAATCTGACCTGAGATGACACGATCTGGATAGAGGATTGGAGTTTGTTGGATGAGGACGCTAAAGGTTTTTGACTGTATCTCCTTTTGAGGTTACACAATATTTCACAAGAAAGATGACAAACTTAAAGAAACTTTATTACAGGGTCTTGCAGCACAGCTGAGACTGTCTACCTAGGTCTCAGCTTTGCAGCAGAAAGTTGGTACCATTAAGAGTTACGCATAACATGCTAAGCTTTTTGTTCTTAACCGACACATTAACCACAAAGCCTCCTACTGCTCAGGACTCATCAGGCTCATTCTAGGCAGCTTGCTTATGACCTCCTTCCCCAGGCCTTGCTCCGTTCAAGGTGAGGTTTCTGATTACTTTCCTTTTTTCCTACTTTGGGACAGGACTAACAGAACATCTCGGATCCAAGGAGCAAAAATAAGCTTGCTCCAAATGTTGTCTTCTGGGGTCATGTTTAGAGATAACGGGTGGGCTCGGAGTAGAGCCGCTGCACTAAATATAGTCTGCTGTGGAGGTTTGGGTAACCGACTAGGATGACTCCTCAGAGACGAGGTGCGTTGAGGGTGTCCGATTGGTCGGCAGAGTCTAGGACACACTGGAGAGATTATGTCTCTCAGCTCTGCATTTCTGTGAAAGAGCTGGAGTCAATTGCTGGAAGAAGGGGGGTCTGGGTGTTTTTGCTTAGAGTGCTGCCCATGCAAACTGGAACTATAGAAGAGGCAGAAAATGCATCCAACCACAGCTTCCTCCCACAGCCTAATAGCATGCATGTTAGGTTAACTGGTGACTCCAAATTGGCCATAGGTGTTTGAATGGTTGTCTCTCTGTGTTAGCGCTGTCCTGAGTGTAACTGCTGCTGACTCTTTGACAGCAGGGATTGGCTCAATCTCCACCACAACCCTAGATGTCTTTCAGGTTTTCATCACACTGTTTTTGGAGCATTTAACCAGCACAAAAATGGATATGATACAACAGATAAATACAGGGAATATATTAATAATATCCAGTATATTTGTGTCTGATCCCCATCATCTTTAAATCAGCCAATGAGTGACATTGCTAATGCCATGAGGATCCAGTTTACATAACCTACCTCAAAATTAAAGGTGACATTTTTATCATACAGGATGAATATTTCTTATTTCTTTCCAGCATCCAGCAGATAGCTGGATCACTGTGCACCACTGCTCTGATGGACTTGGAGCCTTCCAAAACACCAGCTGTGCAATCCTCCTATCAAACCTTCAGCTCTTGCCTTTATCTTCTTTGCGAGGCACATTTTTTAATCATAAACCTGACCTCACAAATCCGTTTGTAGTGTTGTAACGCGGGGCGTGCTCTCCACATACACCGCTAATCCTTGGATCCTCTGAGTAGGACCATGATTTCTGGGACGGTGTTGCCAGGGGAAAGGTGGTGCCCAGGACCTGTTGGAAATGACAGCTGAGGAAAGCGGATTGAAGCGAAGGCATCACAATAACATTAAAGATAGAAGATAGCGAAGAGAGTCCCTCGCGTCAGCGTGTAACGGGTGTGTGTCCGTTTGGGATATTTGGCAGCTTTAGCCTGACAGCTAATCATTTCACTGTGAACCGCGACTCGTAAGCTAACGACACCCACTCTCGCTGAGTGTGTGTGCATGTGGGTGCATGCATCTGTATGGGTTATGTGTGTGTGTATACATTTCAGTGTGGATGTGTGTGTGTGTATGACGCTGCGCTTGGATTCACTGTCCCCATCTGTCACGTTAGCTAGCATGCTAATTTGATGAGCTAATATTGGCTAATAAAAGAAATTAGCCGACTCTGGGCGAGGCACCGCACAGACATTATCACTGCGAGTCAGACCCTGAGCTAATGCGATAGTACACACTGATTGCAATCTCTTCTAAGCAGAACAGCGTTATTTGCTGCCTTTAAAGAATCGCTTAAGAAGCCTGCGTTGACTTTTAGACAGCAGTGTAGCTAATTTTCTCGGCTATTAGCTTTGTAGCTAGAAGTGGGGGGGGCTGGCTCGCTAATTGACCCAGTTTGGTGGGGCAAGGGCCAAGATATCATTCCGCTCGACTGAGCTTTGTTTACATTACAACTTTTAGGCTTCTTACTTTCAGAGCACGTTATTTAATGCAATTATTCAAGCCTATTAAAGGACAGCAGTATTTTTAACAGCACATCATTGACGTAATGCATTCCCAAATACGCTAAACTCTTTAAAAACTCCTGTCCCGCAATTAGTCCGGCCACCTGAGGCACCATGTAGTACATTTAACTTCACAGACTCATTCCTTTGCTCATGGTCGTGTTTACAACCAAATTACAAGTCTGTAATGTCATTAAAAAAGTAATAGCTCAGGTTTTATTAAACGGTATGTATGTTTTTGAGTTTTACTTTCTGTAGATACATTGACTCTCCTTTAAGGAAGTGAACACTTGTACTCTGGGGGTGTTTCTACAATGTCTCCAAGAGGTCAGGGTTATCATAGTTAACCAAAACTAACGTGAGAAAACACGTTTTAGTTAAAGAAAATAAAAACAAAAACTAGACTTTTGTTAAAACTAACTGAAATGATTTTGGGAACCTACGAAAGATACGAAAAAAAAATATATAGAGCTGATATCGTTAGTTTTAGTACTTTTAGTAAATGTGTTATTGTAACTTTCTTCATGAGGCTTTTGTTGGTCATGTTTATTGCGACTTTGGATGGCTACAAGACTGCGAGTCTACTGCTTTCAAAAGGTTGTGTGTTCATAATGTAACACCTGCTCTGATTTTCCTAAATCTTGTCTCTAGCAAAAATTCTTGCAACAGTGTAAATGGCTGAAAATGCTAAAAAATAATAGCTATGTAAATAGCTAAATGTAATGGTCACTGAAACCTTGAATGCTAAGTTTACCAACTTGCCGAAAGAGCTTATTGTTAATTGTATTAAAGTAATTTCATGACATTTAAAGTGAAAGAAGCTGGATTGAAACATGATAGGTGTTGGTAAAAAAGAATTATTGGTGCTCATATGATTAAAAAAAGGATGGAATTTCCACTTTTAGCAGTTTTGGTCAAAACATCAGTGTCACCTTTTCAGCTGTTATGATGCATTGGCGGTTGTTCCTTAATGTCATATGTTTCTCTGTGAAAGTGCCTCTCAGAGTCTCATGATTCACACAAGGCTGGTGAAAACAAGGCGGATATTATATGGGTGAAAACATGACTGCAACACTAAAACTGTCTGAGCACAGGCTCTGGTGTCAGGCACATCCTGTAAACAGATAGCCCTGTGGTTTGTTCTAGTGTGCTAAATGGTAAAGTTTAAAACAAATAGTTATTACTGGCCCTGTGAGTGTATAATTCGTCCCTCAGGGGAGCTGTTTCCACTGCTTTAGTCATCACAGAAGGGCTATTGTGGTTTTCCAACATTTGAGCACAGAGGTTAAAAATAATGACAACAGTTTCACTTTCTCTGTCCTCATTTAACAGGGTTGTAGAGATGGAGTCCCTGATGAGCGCGGTGACTCCACGCTCCCCAGCACCCGCCAAGAAACTTTCTGAGGTGGACTTCCGCTCAGGGGCAACCCTGGAGCAGCTGTCGGCACAGGTATCTGAACTGGTACTGCTGGAGCAGGGGGAGTTTGGAGACCAGACCGCCTTAGAGGTCCACACTGCCAAGGACTTCATCTTCAACATGCTAGGTAGAGAGGTTCATTTCTAATACACACTTCCTTTCCAATTCCCTTCCTGTAGTGACTGTTACAGGAACCTTGCAGAGATATGACACAAATGCACATATCTAATTAGCCAATAGCACGGCAGCAAGTCAATGCATTTTGACTTAAGACACTATCAAGATGACCTGCTTGAGTTTGGCCTCCTTTAGCATTAATCTAGTGCACAGCTGGTACAATCTCACCCTACCTGAGTATTGTTCCTGACCATGTCCATCTGCACCCATGTTCTAATGGCTCCTTCCAGTAGGAAAACATAACATGTCACAAAGCTCTAATCAGTTCAAACTGGTTTCTTAAAGACCATTTATGTGCAGCACATATTTCTAACAGCATAACTTTTTGGATGGTAATCATTCATTTCCTGTAGCTGCAATCAATTGGGACTGGGTGGAAAAGGTTTCCCACAGATTTATATTGTATGTGCATGCAAATGTATGCGTGTGTATGATTTCTATTTCTGTAGCGATCATCTTTGCCGAGTAACTCTATTTAAAAACAAATAACAGAGCAGTGTCATTAGGTGTATCTTCAGTGAGTCTCACATCCTGTGTTGGGCTCCAGCTCCGCTTCTTGTTCATTAGTAGCCGTTAATTATCCACAAAAGGAGAAAACTTGGAACAGTGGGGCACCTTTCCCAGGAGTGGCCGACCTACCAAAAGTAGTTCAAGAACGCACTGACTGATTCGCTGCCAGTTATCACAAATGCTTAATTGCAGTTCTTGCTGCCAAATGTGGCTGGAAGGGGGCAAATACGCTTTCTTCTAAGGTTTCAGCCTCGCCTCGGTCGGCACACCACTCTCACGAAGCCTGCTTACAGTGCGCACCTTTTCATGTAATGCCCGCTGTTTTTGTTAAATGCACCTTTATGGTCAAGCAAGCATGCATGCATTTATTTACCCAGGGCTGTGCGACCTATGTGAGCAATGAGGAGTCTTTTTTAGCAACGCCCTGCTGTCGTCACCTGGACTCTGCCCAGCACAATCACACCATGCTGTGCTGGCTTAACATGCAGTGATCTGTGCTGGCATGCTTAATGTGAAATAATGATTAGAGTCATCAGCTTCATCCTGCTGTGCATGTGCTGATTTGCCTGTCCCTGTAGATTTAGTGCATCACAAGGCTCTTCAAGTACAATGAAAAGGTGACGAGTGAAAAGCGGTTTGGATTTGTGTCGAACTACTCGTCAGACTTTAGTACAGCGAGGTCATTTCTTTTTGACAGTTTTTGTTCGTAGTGAAATATAATTGAGGCAAAAAGAGTTCCCATTTAAGTGTGAGAGGATTCTCTTTCGTTTCGTGGCTCATGTTGGGAGCCAGCATGCAGGAAAATAATGAACAGCGTAGACCAGGTACAGTATGTTTAATTTAATCCTTCCGTATGCACTGAAGCTCCAGTGGGTCATTAAGAAGTCTGAAATTAAAATCAAGAAAAGTACATTCCCCAGAAATCTGTTGCGGTGTGTTTAAGACTGCGGGAATAAAATCAAATCTTTTTTAAACAATAAAGCAGCCTCTCACGTGTGTAAAGGTATTTCTTGTTGCTTAGTTTTCATCTGAAGATTGAAAACGAGCACTAAAGTTTGGTTTTCTCTATAGAAGCTGGTCAGAACAGCAAGTTGGCGGCGGCAGAGCCGATCTCACAGACCCAGATCCAGCATTTGTAAACACGTGCTGGTCGTAGCACTTAGCACAAACATTCGCTATGTCGATGTTTGTTTCTTGACATGGAAGTGAAAACGAGAGACACGGCAGAGAGTTTCTCTCTCTCTCTCTCAGCATGTAATGAAAGCAAAGCACTGTGGATGAGCTAGAACGCAGCGAATCAGGGTCGACCTCGTTCATGTTCACTTGTGAATGAGTTAGCCTTTATCACAAGGAGACAGATAATGTCACGCAGTCGCATTCATGTAGCATTTTTCCCATCCTACTGACCGGTCAAAGCTCTTTAGACTCTAAATCACATTTTAACCACGTGTTTATAAACTGCTTTATGCTCTGCAGTTCAAACATTCAAACATCTGCCTCATTGATGGCTGATTTAGAATCACCAGTAAACCTAACAAGCACGTCTTTGGACTGTGGGAGGAAGCCCGAGTACCCAAACCCACACAGGCACAGGGACAATGTGCAGACTCCACAGACGCGAGACGCGTGACGAGAATGCTACTGAACTCGTGCCTAAAAAAAAATAGTACCTCACTTATTTGGAGGTACTTTGGATTTGATAAAGACGACGTTCTCCAAACACAGGTGCTCTGCAAAACTTGCCGAACACTCGTGGCAACCACCAGAGGAAACGCGACTAATCTCCACCATCATCTTCAAATACAACCACAGAGAACTGTTTGAAGAGTTCCAGAAAGACAGGGCTAGCCAAACAAAGGTTGCTAATGTTAAGGCAAAGAGCGCAGCAGTCCAACAGCCGTCTCTGTATCCGAGTTTTTCAAGTGGAACAACTTATGAGAAAACGTCGAAGCGGTACAAAGAAATAACAGAGGCCATTACACATTTTTTGACAAAGACATGATGCCTATAAATACAGTTAGCAGAGAGGGCTTCACCAGTCTGTTACCGTACATAAAGTGGACCAGAGATACCGCATCCCCTCACGAAACTACTTTTCCCATGTCGCCATTCCACAAATGTACGAAACATGCCGCAGGACCGTCACGTTTGAACTGAGCCAAGCTGAAAACTACGCAAGCACTACAGTGAAGTTTCCTCTCCAGTTTTGACTTACATCATAACTGCTTGGTGAGTGGTAAAATGATGAACAGCTGCACTGAGATAATTTGCAGTATAATCTAAGTTATGTTTATTTAAAACTAATTCTATAGACCGGGAAGGATGTCTTTCAGAATTTTCTTATGTGGGCAATGTTTCAATGTTAAAGTGCACTTTGTTGTTACACTGCTAATACAGCAGCTTTCATTAAATAAAACTGTGCAGTAAAACGGAAATTATGTATTTGTTTTTTTTTTTTTTTTTGCTATTTATTTTATCGCAAGTCATATCGTTATCGCAGTATTGATCACAGTTATCGCACATCGCAGGTTTTCCTAATATCGTGCAGCCCTAGTCAAGAGTAACAATAGGTGTAGAAGCCACACTTAGAATTGCACAGGGTAAGCTGGGAGCCGGCACATGTTCCTTACTTAATCCAGATAACTCACCCCAAAGTCCTCTTGTAGAAAACAATGCAAGGTTTATTAATCCACTTTCTTCTTTACAAAACAAATCCAGTGCTCAGACTTAGTCAGAAGTTTGCATAAAGTCCAAACTGATCAGGAAACCATAATGCTTCACTCTCCAGCTCACACACAAAGTCAGTTACCCAGAGAGTCACAAATCAAAGTGACCTCTTTGAATTCTTTCTTGCGTGTGACCAACGACACAGCGTTAACTGAGATGATTGTATCTACTTAGTTTTTCTGGAAACACTTGAGTAAGAATTATCGTTGGTCTTATTAATTAATTAATTAATTAATTAGTGATTAGAGTTAATTGGATTTAAAAATATTTAGTGCGTAGTTTGATCGCACACCTGACGGGCTGGCTTTGTTAAGACTTGATGCTCAGATTGTGTTTATTAGTAACAAGCGAAGTGTGTTTGTTTGTCCAATAGGTGGCACTCTCCTCCCTCCCTGCTGTCTCCTGTCAGCCAGCCCCTCTTTCTTGAAATGAGGTGTGTTTGACCAGAAAGTTTCAGGTCGTTTTTTTTAAATATATATATATACACACACTTCTTTCTCCCGTGTGTATTTTTATTACCAAGTTTTACGTTGCTGTAGATCCTCTTGTCAGTGCACAGAGATGCCTGGCTCACCCAGAATTACTATTCCTGTCAAATCAGTACTGTAGCATTGCTTGACAGACAGCTTCTCTAAGTTTCAAGGCTTCTCCTCCTCTAAGCTGAAATAGCTTCATCAAACGGGCTGCTTCCCCCGGGGAGAAATCACACAAATCAAGATGGAACTTGGCTTTTTTTTTTTTTTTTATCGTATCATTGTGTCACCAAGTGCAGCAGATATTCCTGTTTCTGTGTAAAAGTTTTTTTTTTTTTTCTTTCTAGCCTTTTCTTTTGCTCACTTCTCATTTTTCATGACTGTGTTGTAAAGCCCTCTGCTTTCCTCTTTGCTCTATCTTGGCTGAGAAGCTCTCTCTCTAACGCTCTTATTTTTTTCTTGGTTTTTGAGGCATCTTTTGCCTGCATAATCACCAATGGTTTGCTAGCATTTTCATAGCCTGTGCCTCACCACCTGCTGTGACAGCTCCAACTGCGTATGGAAAGGGGAAAGGAAAAAAACAGAAAAAGTTTGGCACTTTCCACTGAGGGAGACAGTTTGCGTTCTAGGAATATAAAGTTAAGTATGCGGCGGTAGCCACGTTAGCAGCTTCTGTGCCTCTCGAGGCGCTGCGGAGGAGGAGAAGCAGCAGCGAAAAGCAAATATCTTGATGGAGGGGCCTTGTTAAAGCATGCCGGCCTGCTGTTGGAGGGGCTGCAAAGGTGCTGGCGTGTCGATGCCGTACACTAGTGGCTTCGCTTCAGCTTTTTTTTGCCAGCCTTTTCTAAAGTTTGAGCTGCAAAGGGATCCCCGCTGGGATTTGCACACTGTCAGAGAAAAGGAAGGAGAAAAGAGATTAAACTCTTATGCACGCGCACGCACCCGGTGTACCCAGCGATTTCCCCTCACAGCGTGACAGATTCAAGAAGAGGCCCTTATTTACCCAGCATCTGAGTAAACATGTGGTTTTGCCTTCAGGCTACAGTGGCGGGGGGGCTACTGTGGATGTCTTTTGAAAAACAAAAGTGTGATGAGGGCAGAAATAGATCCACGCTGCCGGCGGAGCAGACGATCCGGTGTGGGCCCAGACGTACCCTTAACCCAGCATCACAGATCTTAAAGTTTGTTAGCGAGTTTAGTTCAGAGTTCATCTTCCCCCTCCTGATGTCGGGGAGAGGGA